AATCCCAAACGGTCCGTGGTTTTCTTGACGAACTGTTTGGCATGGATGTCAAAAATGGAGACGATGAAAATTCGTTCAAAGGTGTTGACTCCCCTCACCTGTATAGTGATTGTGTGCCTACAAGTTCATCATCTGGTAGTTTCGACTTGATGCAACAAGATGTTTGCGACAGTTCTCCAGTTGACAATCTCTTCCAAAACAACTATATGCTTCCGAGATACTTAGCAGATGACATGAAAAGAAGTAAGTGGACATGTATGTTTCTGATTGTTTAAATTTGTTTTCACGGAGTAAATATTCACAAGCTTGTTAAGCTTTTCGTAGTCATTATTCTCACGATTCCTAACGTATATAAGCACCTTTTTATTATCTCGGATAGAAATCACAGAAGTCTTATGCGCTTTTGATATTGTCTTTTTCACAATTTCTTACTCAACAGATCAGACAAATAAACAGATTTTCGAAACGTTGAGACAAAGCAGATTTAGGATTTTTTTATATACCAATTATAATTTATTCGGAAATTTTGTCGTTACTAGTGAGTAATCACAAAACGAGGTTAATAAAGTTGTATTATTCAAATAGTTAACTATAAATTTTAACCCACGTGATGTAGTCCTTCGGCCATTTTACAGTCATTAGTTCATTGCTTAGATTGATTTAACGGCCAGTGTCGTATCGTCACGCGCTAATAAAAAGGTTGCTGAAACTAATTTATGAGCAACCTTTGAGCGACGCTAGACCAATCGTAAAAGTGTCCGCTTACTTGGTCTAAATGAGGATTATAAAGCAGTTTTAAGATTAAGGATTATGATTTGCAGTTGATGGTTAGGGTTAGGAATTAGATTTAGGGTTTTCATCACGAAGTGACATCAGCTATAACGCCAAAACTACTTAACCAAATGGGTGAGTTAATTTCGCGCCAAAACGTAAGATCTGTTATCGTAAAACTGATTGGTTCGTCCATAAATTATAGTCTCGCCAAAAGGTTTCACCTGTCCAAGTGATATGACTTGCTGTATGCTTTCATACGATTTTGTGGATTTTAGTGATAAATCCACACGGTAAGGTTATAATTAATGGACGAGTCAATGAAATTAAAGATAAAAAATCTTGGATTATGAAGAGGATTTCATTCATCCATATAGTTAAGTGAGATTTTGCTATTATAACTGATGTCATTTCGTAATGAAAACTCTAACCTAACTTCTAACTGTTAATCCTAATTTCACACACTAGTCCGTAACGCACTTTTGACTAGTAAGTAGTTGAATTCTCTCGAGGTCACATTTGCACCATTTCAAGATAGTCCATGAATTATAGTATAAAGATTTGCGTTTGAAAAGTGAGGTAGTATTATTAGTACTTTTTAGTGATGGAGGTCGTCAAGTTACCAAGTTCTCGTTAAGCCACCACTTCTCTCTAGTTGCAGCGCAAGTGTGGACAAAACGATGTCCAAATATTAGATCTTACAAGCTCCTGTAGGTTTACTGTTACCATTATGTGGTCGATGCAGCCACAACCAGGTCTGAAGCCAGTTTAATTTTCACGTGTTTGCAGTTCACGAGTCTTAGTTAGGCGTCCGAAAATTATCGAAGCTAGTATTTTAGATGCTATATTAGTTAAACTAATCCCTCTATGGTTGTCACAGGATGATTTTGACCATTTCTTATATATTGGGACGATAAGTGATTGTGACCAGTCAGAGGGGATTATGTCCAACTCCCAGATTTAAGCTAAAATATTAGTCAACCTAATCGCTAAAATTGGACCGCTATCCTTAAAGACCTCTGAAGCCAATCCATCTGGACCAGCTGCCATTCCTCGTTTTAGATTAACTATAGCCTTTTGAACTTCAGCTAGAGTTGGTGGACCTACTTCAATATTCGATTCACACTGTCTGGGAATGGAGGGTAGTTGTAGAGTAGCTGAAGGCCAACTGAACTGCTCCTTAAAATGTTCCGCCCATCGTTCTAAACGTCTGGACTGGGATAAATTACAGGAGGAAATCTTTAGGTAAGAGGACTTCCTCTTAAGTGCAGTTGCACCAAATTATTGTTTGGCGCCTGATATCCAGAAGAGCTTTTATTTAATGTATTAATGACTACAACTGCAATGAGCGTTAAGTAAAGATCTGGAAGAAATATGCATTAGGAACTCAGTCAGCTACAACGTAAGACCAGGCACATATATGCATCGGTCCAAGTTGCCATACCTCATTAGCACAACAAGATGAACACCGAATTCACAGTAGTTAATTCAATGGTGGTAATATATAAAATAAAGATTGCATATAATGATATAGTACATGAAGAAAGAACTAGTTCATAGAAAGAAAGACATAAGGCAATTTTAATCTCATAGTTTAAGGGAAGACAGAGAGTGTATGCACCGACGCCACTGTGAACGATTCTGAACCATGTCACTCAGTCTCCAACCATTGGTTACGAGTCACGCGAACCCCAACCAAGTAGTCTACATCTACCAACATGGCTAAGACTATAAGTTGGTGACTTCGAGGACTGATGCTACGTTTTGGTTTGGTTGCTCATAACTTCCAGTCATCCCTAACACCAGTGAGCATTACCCGTCGTGGTAATCAGTGTTCGGGCATACTCAACACGTGGCCCAACCATCTCAGTCGATGAAGATTCACAACCTCATCAACTGATTTACCATCATTCCTTCCGTATTCACTTGTTTGTTATCAAGGAATGCACTTTGTTTTACCTGTGAAATGCGCATGATATAACTTAATGACTCCATTGTAATCACTCATAACCTTTTTATTTTATATCTTTCAGTTATAAGTGAAGATTTATCCTATTCAAAACGTTCACAGTTCCAAACTACGAGTAATCCCCACATGTTTGGAAAGTTCAATCGAAGTAGTGACAGCGGAATTTCAATCTCTTCACGGTCTTCTAAACCCTCTACTCTTAGCTACAGCGAACATGTCGCGCAACGGATGTCGAACCAAAGCGATGCTATTCCAACCTCTAAATCAGCTTCTATATCTTCTTTCCCACTTGACAAAACAAAGAATATGACCCATTTTGATCGGTTGGTTAAACTTCAAGAAGAACGAATGCAGCTCCACTAATGTGTATATTCACCCCACCCTCAAAGATGTTCCAAACTTCTTTTATTTAAACCTATAAATCAGTTTGTTGATACAAACCGTTATGTACAGGCTGTTTGACTTTTTTCCTAAAGTCATCCAAATAAATCATGCCTTTCTTCAAGACTTTTCAGTATGCCTGGATTTCTCAAGTACTTTACTTGTCAATCTTATTAGTGTTAAAAACCCTACATTTTCTCTCAATACCTCGTTATCATTATCGATATCTGCTTCGGTTTGGGCACCCAGGCAGTATCGCAGCCCTCACACATACCAAATGAGATCTGTGTGGCGCATATATATTTGGTGCCTCCTTGTACCAATATCTATGTGTTAAAATAAATAAATAGATATCATTATCAATACTTTGACATAGTCATCTACCTTAGTCATTTAATGACTCATCAGCTGATGAGCGAAGTGTAAGAATAACATTTCAGAGGTTCATTTCCGTAGTACGACCTATATACGATATGTTTGTCTTCAATACACATCATTGTACTATGCTTAAGACAGTGTATTTGAATAATGCTGTTCTATGGATCAGCTTTCTGTCAACGGTTAGCGTCTTTTTTTTTAAATGATCGTTGAGTTGACCAAAACCTGACTGGTAGTATTTACGTGACTAATGCAACTAGCATAAAGAATGATTAGCGTCCCAAAGGTATGTGTGTGTATAAACTGAGTGACGGATCATCTGATTTTATTCTTCCAAATGTATAGAGTTATGTTTCTCAAGATTGCTTCTTAAAGACATTTCCCATCAGAATAGTGAAACTGTCAAAAGCTGCTTTTCCTGGTAATGTAGGCTTAGTGTTGTTGTGTATACCGTCCTACTATTCACATGAAAGACTAAATTCATTAACAACAGGGAGTAGATGAATATCAAGATTGCTTCCTGAGATTTCTAACTAAGTAATTTTGTTCTTCCCAGTTAAATTGGGTGCACTCTGAAAAAACTGGCCATGATAAACGTCCACAGTCATGTTCGCTGTGGATAGAATTATTAGATAAGAGTATAGTGAGGCTGTTATTTTGAGAACTAGAAATATAAACTTTTGTTGCACAAGTACTCTTTATTAGTGCTTTTTTAGTTACCATGGTACTAGTGATATTGGGATTGGCGTTAACAATATATATTCATGTATATGGGTTAGCTTTCAACCATTGAATTTGGGACTGGATTGGCCTACCTATCGCCGATTATGATACAGCAAATATGACTAATAGCTTATACTACTGCAGGGCGTCCAACTTCCGGGTTCAAATCCCACTCCACCTTTTTCAGTTTGACCGGATGAGTAATCCCACTAGCTCTCACATTTAGTGTGGCTCATATCCAAGTACCTAATCAATGTGTTAATTAAACTAGAAGTTATTTGTAGAGAACTCTGAAGCCAGTCTTCATCATGTTAGAGTGATGATAGTAACAAAAATACTTCTGCTGAAAAATAACCTTACAACTGTCTTTAGGTTTTCATTTTTGGTGTTGCAGTATTCCGAGTAATTACTATAGACCGGTATTCTACATTAAAAGCGATATTGTAACGACATCTGTGATCAAATACCATTTTGTATGTTTTAGTAAGTAAAATACATGAAACCTTGCAAGGTAGTACATCGGGACCAAGTAATTTTTCTAATTGATTTCCTAAAGTTGATACATTATTTCCAACAGACCCTTACATTATCATTTGGTAGCTATACCTCTAAATCTCTATTATTTAATAGTATTTTTTTGAAGGTATGAACCATATAATTTAAATCAAAAGCAGTAGTGTCTGGTCCCTGTTTGTTTGTATTATTTGTGACAACGATATCAGTTCTTTCGTAACTAAGAGTACTTTTTTTATAAAGTGGTAGTTCAGCACTCACTGAAATGCAGTCTATCGCGCAACGCGTACATCGGTGTTGGAGAAAATATGAGATCTTGAAAGCTGGCGTGTACATAACAATTGGTGCAACGTTTACCCATTTTATTCTAAAATCGGAAGTTCCAAGCATTTCATTCTCACATCCTGTAACTGCAGCTGAAATCATTTACCCTCCTCTTGTCGGCTCCCCAAACCTCCCAATAAACAATGAAGCTCTTCGTACTTTGGGAATGCCATCATCAAGTCATCTTCGTATTTTTGACGGCTATATATGTGTTTATGATCGTCGCAACAGAATTCCATATTGGGTAATGGAACATTTAAACCCTGCTAAACTACATCAAGTTGATATTGATAAGGCTGGAGTAGAGCGGTATGTTTTTATTTCATTAACACCTGGAATGACATTTTAGACCAAGAGTATCTTAGTATATTTACTGGGACCTTTATCAGATTATTTTGAGCCAACTTGTCTACCCAGATGTTAAGGAACATAGCACAGTTTCGTTTAATTTAGTTTAACGAACGTTTTTATGTCAACTCTTAACTAACTTCACATGCTTTACTTGAAAAAGTATGGTATTATAGTAAATAGCTTAAGCCACAACACAATACAAAAAGAAAGATATTTAAAGACGAATCGCAAGAGTTTTTTATATATATTGTGGTCAGTAGACATCCTAAAGTGAGAATTACCCGCTTTAAAAGTTAATTGAGATGCAAATTGAGCTGATTAGAAGAGTAGCCGATAAAATTTAAGTAATCGTGAAAGGAAACAGATCAGGGTGTTCAATTAAGCAATAACACAGTCAATTAAAAGAAAAGAAATCCTAGTTAACAGTCAGATGTTACCGGGATTTAGACGACATTCGTAGGATTACAATATGGAGATCATTAACGACCACCGATTGGATTGTCCTAGATTTAAATTTTACTCATTTATTCTCAACATGTCAATCAAACATTTAAAGATTGTATTTTCTAAAGACGAAATCAGTTATTTAAAGGGCTCTTATAGCATATTCACAAAAGTCAATATTTGGATGAAAAATTGTCTTCAACAACCACATCTTAAGGTTATCTAGTTATAAATCCATAAATTTGTATTACAATAGCCTGTAAATTAGCACGGTGATATTACTATTACTTAGAATTCAAACAAATCGATCCCCTCAACTAGTAAATAAATTCATATTTCCTGTTAATGAATTTCGTGAGAAGGGTCATATTATTAACTGTAAGTAGACCATGAACTATTCACATAATCAGAGGCTGACCGAACAATACGGCTAAAGAAAGCACCAAGATAAATGAAATTAAAAAATCTGTGAAAACAACCATTCAACAGGATGACCATTAGAGTGAACTGATTTAACACTTGTGGAATCTGTAACAAGCCTACTCTTACATAAAGTAGGTACTCATGATGTCCAGAACAATGAAAGCTTCATAATTATGCTGTTCAGCTCACAAAATACGATTCCACTAATAGCTATGAGGTTCGCGAAACTTGAGCTCCTATCATTTTATTAATTTGGCATACTTGTGAGTTTTCAACACTCAAGGTCGTATACTATTGTATATCATTTTCGTCACTTAGCAAAACCTTAATTGCTTATGTTTGTTATTGTGATCCATACTACGGTAAAATAATTAAATTAAGAAAGTACTTGAATGGCTGAACTGATGATTACCTTACCAAACCAACCCCTTGAATGCTAACAGAATAGTTATTAGAAGTAAGAATCACTGACCAATAAATTATATTTGTGAGTTAAGACTGTTGTTTATACACCAAGCATATTAAACCAAGATAGTATGGCTTTTCATTTAACAGATGGTTAATCGAGGATAAAAATGTATATTACAACCCAAAGAATAACTATTAACTTTCCCGTCATATCATGTGTTTGTGAACTCTTTCTAAAAGATTCTTCAATAGTATTATATTTCATAAAGAGGCATTTTCGGGCAAATTTTTTCAAATTACGAAAGGGCAATATGTCTTGAAAAACGTTTTAGGGATCTTGAATAATCAGTAATTTAAACTCCCAACTGTTGCATTTTTTATTAAATAATAGCAAAATGGATTAATACATACTTGATGTAGGTGGGACTATGCAACTTATTACGAATCCAACGTTTCAAAGAGATACAGAATTTCCTCAGTTTGGAGATCCGATAATGCTCACTTTTTTTATCTCAGAAGCCAGTAAATCAAAACAAGCTGACTAAAATTGTTTATGTACTTGCTAGAATTCCCAAGTGTATACAATTTAACTTGACATAACTATGGGAGAAAGTTATTGGGAATTCAAATTACGTAGTGCTTAATTTGAGCTTGACCTCATACTTTAAAACTTTCGAAATGCTATTTTCAATGTAGCGTAAGCTCAGTTCAAGTTTGAGAATTTGAGTAAAGCGATGTCAAATGTCAGTTTAAGCCATTTTTAGCGTTTGCACATTTTGTAAGTTTTTATCTACCAACTTGAACTAAAAATAAGAAGTCTAATTGTTTTTGTCAAATTAGTACTCAACATACCTCATTGGGAAATCAGGAAACTGCTTCAAAGCGAAACTCATGACTAGATCAAAATTAGCTAAATATATTATACACAGAATTTAGCATCCATTGAAGACGATTATAAATGTTACAAAACTATTCAAGAAAGAAGAATACCTACCTATTTTCTTAGTTGATAACCTCCGTAAGTGGATAATAAAGCTTACATTAAGAGAACTGACTGTTTTTTTCTAAACTCTTACATTTGTTTTGAAAATTAACAGTAAGGATTTCGATTTCTATGAAGATCTTGGTGAAATTGAAATGTTCCGTTCTACTAACAAAGATTATTTGAACTCTGGATATGATCGTGGTCATCTAGCCGCTGCAGGAAATCATCGCCTCAGCCATTCAGCTATGGGACAAACTTTTATATTAAGCAATATTGCACCTCAAGTAGGTATCGATATTGGAGCTTAGTTTATTTTTTTCTTTTTTCGGGAATAATAAAAAAATATTAATCTATTAACCATCTACACATTACAGAAAGTCTATGTTGCAAGCTAAACTTACGCGCTCCATAGAAAGTTCCCAAAAGCTTGTAGTGGTTGGCACCATGTCAAGCCCATATAGGTTACTCTAGCTTCTGGACAGATCAATTTATTCATTTTTGTCGAGCTACATTCCGACCTTGTCAATTATTCGCTTGTTAACCCTGACTTGTTATACGATCGTATGTGTGTTAGTTGCTCACTCTATTCATTACATGGCTGTAACTTATTTTTGTCTGAATATAAATATTAAGTCACGCTTAATGAAAACGAGTTGGCCCACCTGTCTTTTGCGCTACTCTCTACTTTGTTTCGCTCCGCTTCCTTCACTTCATTTCTCTAATTGTCTGTCTGGATCAATGAGTGTACGAAATATACGTATTTGAGATTCACTCTCGTACTTGACGTATTCCGTTATTCTCTAACGCTAATTAAGTCGATAAAAATATACAACGGTTGGCGGCATGTATATTTTAATAACAATCATCATAAGATCTAACTGAAGTCAGATACAGGGCCACCAAAGGCTGTTTTTAAAAAGTACAAATGAGAAATATACAAGACTTAAAAGTGAATAAATAATTCTCTCGAAAATACAAGTAAATCACGAAACCGTAATCATTTATCATCTTTAGGCGATTGTCAATTATTGATTTATTAATTTTATCGTTTACATACTGATTGAGAGGATTAAAGATAAACGATCGTCTTCTGGTACTCTTGGTATCGTTAAGTTTGTTTTATGTTTCCAGTAGTATAAGACCAAGCTTTCTAATATATGATGTTTGTTTACGTGTGTATTATTTCACCTTTAATCCAGGTTGGATATGGTTTCAATCGGCATGGTTGGAATAGCCTAGAGAAGTATATACGTGCGGTTGCAAGAAAGTCACACAATATGGTTGTTATCACAGGACCATTGTTTCTACCCCAGTAAGTAATCTAATTAGATTTTAATGTCTGATTACTCAATTTAGGTTTGATAATAATACGTTGTTCATATATATATATATATATATATATATATATATATATATATATATTAATTAAATCTGGAATGTGTCTAGGTGTATCAAATAATTTAATTAACCCTGACAAGACCCATCGATTTTATTCAATCTCAGATTGTAGAATACTAATTATTTTTTGTGCTAAACTAGATCTGACATCTACCGGTCTTGAGATTGCTGAATACAAAAGCACAAGCTGTATAACTAATTATTTCGATTGAATCAATTCATAATTCAAGCCACCGAATGGTAGTTGTTTTCGTTTAGGAATCTAAGGTTGATTTGGCTAAATAATGTAAAAGTACATGGATATTGACTTTTTATTGAAATTTAATGTCTGTAACTAAGCACAGGTTCAAGTACTCGACTTTGAGCCACACCTTTCATGTGGTAAGAAAGAATAATGCACCCCGACTACTCAAACTGAAGTAGTTTCTGAAGGTGAGTCTATTCCATCACTGAAATTAACTTTGAGTGCTATTAAAATGATGAAATTATACTATACTGACAACCTGGAACAACTCTGAAAATAACTTAGTTATTAACCAATCAGAGTGCAGTTGATATAATTGTGTACTTTATTACAAAAAACTCAAAAAGTAGATATACATGCCACTTACCTGATTAGTATGCCTACTATGGCTCACAATAAGTTCAAGAGTTCTTATCTCGAACATTAATGGTTTGTTGATATAGCAGTTTTATTATACTCATTAATTCATCATTTCACAAGTGCCATACTAAACATAATTTTCTATTTTGTCTGTGCAATGTATATCTCTAATCGTTTTGTTAATTAAAACTATTTTTCAATACTATTTCAGAAATGTAAATGGCAAGAAAATTGTGACTTATGAAGTAATTGGTAACAATAATATTGCAGTTCCAACTCATTTCTTCAAAGTGGCAGCTATTCAAAATAAACCAAATGGTGAATGGCATCAAGTAGCTTGGGTAATGCCCAATATTCGTTTACCTGAACAAATTAAATTGGATGGTTTTAAAGTTCCTGTTGAAAGCGTTGAAAGTGCCTCAGGCTGGAAATTTTTCCCTAAACTTAAATCTTAGCAAAACTGTTGAAAGTTCTTGTTTATATACCTCACATTTGTACCTCTTTAGTTGGTATTTATAATTTTCTTTTTCCTTTAGATATGTTATATGGAATTATATTTTCTTACTTAAATATCTTTTTATTCTTTTAACTGAAATGATCTGGGACATGAAGTTATAATTGAGGTTTGTGACTGATTGGTCAAGTCGATAGTAAGAATCATTCACATATTTTATTCATTGAACACAGACATTTTCTTATACTCTTGTAAGCCAGAGTAGGTTAAGAATTCAAATATTGTCCAAAGAATGTATAGGAAAGATTAAATTTTATTGATCGCTCATTCGTGTACATATTTTGACAATACTCTTAAAAGCAAGGCAATAAATTGACGTATTAAAAAAGTAACAAACGTATGAAGGATGAATATCTTCGACCCCAGTAGTAGAAATCAAGAATTCCCTTGGGTGAAATTCCATAGGAATAGCGATGGTTCAATCTTAAAAAATAGTAACTAACAATTGGATTATATAAATGGTTTTAAGAGATCTAACTACCATAAAACGAAAGTATGTGAGTCTTATTCAAACAAGAAGTAACCCTATTCAAACTACCATTAGCAACAATACAAAGAAACAAAACAAATATTTGATACAAACAAACAAGTTTAATAATGTTAATATATACTATTTAGACTTGTGTTAATTTAGAAAGGGTTGTTTATCGTCTGGTAAAAAGATGTTCATACATAAATTTATGTTCATTTATTGAAACAGTTTATTCTTTGACCTTGATAATATATCATGAGACTGATAATTTGTTACGTTTGTGGCGTTATTTTTTTTAGAAAACACCTTAAATGTTAAAACTTTGTATTTTGTAAGAAGCTGATAATTTACTAATATATAGACGTTCTGTCGACCATAGTTGACATGATTAAGTAAATACGTAGAGTATTATGAACTTATTGCCTACAATTTGATCATGACTTCCATTTTCAGAACGAATTAGGACCGCTAGATTAATTTAACAAACTGTCTTTATGCTACTTATAAGTAGCGTAAATAGATTGGTTCAGTAATCTGTAAAACAATTTCAGGTCATTGATATAAGTTTCTTCTTTAGTTGCATAAATGCAAGCTTATATACCATTGGTAATAAGCTCCTTAAAATGCCTCTCCTAACAAAAATTTCATTTGAAGATATGGTTTATATTAAAATTGCAGATTTATCTAACATAGGTGAAACAGATTAGATTATCAAATCTGTGCAGTTTCTTTATCTACTCTAATATATGTGCAATTAACACTCATTTAAAGGGTCTTCTATCTCAACAGTATAAACAGGTATTAAAATTCTAAGAACAATATATCGCCAAAGGAATTTATCTATGACTAATTATAACAGCCAAATCATAAGATTTACCAATAAAATGAGACCTCAAAACGGAAAGTTTAAGTTTTCCAACCATTATTGTTAAACCTTATTTCTAAATGTATCCTACCTGATATGACGCAATATTTAGATATCTACTTTGATTTTGTTAAAGTATTATCAAACTAATTAATGTTCACGACCTACATAACATATTTATAGTAAAATATGGTTTCTAGATAAAACAATAGAAAATATGAAATGTAAGAAGCTTTTTCTTTTCAAAGACTTCTGAAGTTCATGAGAAAAATGTAGACTATTAATAGTTTTCAATGAACAAATGTTATCTCAATCTAATTAATTCTACTTTGTATTTTATCAAAACAAAATAAAACTATTCATCTCTTAAATTTTTATGACCAAAATGCTTTTAACATTTATAATTTAACTAAATCTTACCAGTTATTGACTAGTGTTTAAGTCAATGTTCAATGGAAAACAATAAAAGGTTCAGAATTTTGATTTCATGATAATTACCTCTTCGTCAATAAAGCTTATCCATAATCTTATAGAAACTAATACTTACTTACGCCTGTTACTCCTCGTTGAGGAGCAAAGGTCGCCCACCAGCACTCTTCATCCAACCCTGTCCTGTGCAATCCTTTCCAGTTCTTATTCATCATTTTCATATCTGCTTCTATTTCCCGATGTAATGTGTTCATTGGCCTTTTTCTTTTCCTCTTCCCTTCAGGATTCCAAGCTAGGGTTTGCCTTGTGATATAATTTGGTGATTTCCGTAATGTATGTCCTATCCACTTCCATCGTCTTTTTCTAATTTCCTTTTCCACTGGAAGCTGGTTTGTTCTCTCCTGTATTAGACTGTTGTTGATGGTATCCGGCCAATCTTGCATAGACAAATGTTTATAAATACTTGTACCTTCTTGATGATGGTTGTAGTAGTTCTCCAAGTTTCATCTCCATACAGTAAAACTGTCTTGACGTTCGTATTGAAGATTTTGACTTTGATATCGATTGACAGTTGTTTTGAGTTCTATATGTTGTTCAACTGCTTTACCACTCTCCTTTACGTCTGCATCCGATTCTCCTTGTTCATCGATGTTAATACTACACAATATTATAATCTTCACTCTACGTACTGTTAAATTTAGAGTGTTTAGAAAAAGGTAAGTTGAGGGTACTTATTTTCCATACCAATATTAATAGGAAAGTGTTATATAACTATTAAATAATAGACAATCCTCTCATTATAATTGTTATAGTTAATGTGAAACGAGGAAGAGCGGCTGGTCCAGATGGATTGGCTCCAGAGGTCTTTAAGTATAGTGGTCCAATTTTAGCGACTAGGTTGACTAATATTTTAGCTAAAATCTGGGAGTTGACCGTAATCACATCCGGCTGGTCGCAATCACTTATCGTCCCAATGTATAAGAAATGGTCAAAATCATCAATGTAATAATCATAGAGGAATTAGTTTGACTAACATAGCATCTAAAATACTAGCCTCGATAATTATCGGGCTCTTAACTAAGACTCGTGAACTGCAAACATGAGAAAATCAGACTGGCTTCAAAAGTGGTCGTGACTGCATCGACCACACATTCACCATTCGTCAGGTTCTAGAACACAGGCATACTTATCGGCGTCCGACAATGGTGGTCTTTCTTGACTTAAAAACAGCATTTGACTCTGTAGATCGAGAGGTTCTGTGTCAGTGTCAGTCATTGAAAGGCGTACCTCAGAAGTTCATAAACCTTGTGAAGGCTCTTTACTCGAACACTACTAGTCGAGTCAGAGCTTATGGCGAACTGTCATCTGCTTTTGCAACTTCAAGTGGTGTCCGTCAAGGCTTTCTACTTTCTCCTTTTTTGTTTAACTTTATCATAGACATCCTGATGGAAATAACGCTCTCATCGACTGAATTCTCGGGTATTGATCTCTTACCACGAGGTCCACTTATTGACTTAGAATACGCAGATGACATAGTCCTGTTTGGTGAAGACGCTGATGAAATGCAGAGTCTTTTGGTAGCATTGAGCAACAATGCCAGAATGTTTGGGATTCGCTTCTCTCCTTCTAAATGCAAGTTGTTGCTTCAGGACTGGACTGCGTCAACACCTGAACCAAGGATAGGGAGTGAAGTAATCGAACGCGTTGACAACTTCACTTATCTTGGAAGTCTGGTTAGCTCAGATGGATTGGTGTCCCAGCACGGATTCGCAAAGCTCGTTTGGTTTTTTCCAATTTACATCACTTATGGCGAAGGCGAGATATTCGTCTATCAATAAAAGGACGAGTATACTGCGCGGCAGTTCGTTCCGTTCTACTATACGGCTGCAAAACATGGCCACTAAGAGTAGAAGATATTCGTAAGTTACTATTATTTGATCACAGGTGCCTTAGAAATGTTGCGGGTATCTGCTAGGATCACCGGGTAAGTAATAGTGAGGTTAGATGTAGGGTATTAAGGAATGATGGTAAATCAGTCGATGAGGTTATGAATCTTCATCGACTGAGATGGTTGGGCCACGTGTTGAGTATGCCCGAACACCGATTACCACGACGGGCAATGCTCACTGGTGTTAGGGATGACTGGAAGAAAGTTATGAGCAACCAAACCAAAACGTAGCATCAGTGCTTGAAGGCACTAACTTCTGGTCTGAGCCATGTTGGTAGATGTAGACTACTTGGTTAGGGTTCGCGTGACTATCGTTACCAATGGTTGGAGACTGAGTGACATGGCTCAGAATCGTTCACAATGGCGTCGGTGCATACACTCTCTGTCTTCCCTTAAACCAAGTGATTAAAATCGCTTCATGTCTTTCTTTCTACGAACTAATTGTATCTTCCTGTACTATATCATTATATGCAATTTTATTTTATATATTACCACCACTGAATCAACTACTTCTATGAATCCGGTGTTCATCTTGTTGTGCTAATGCGGTATGGCAACTTGGACCGATGCATATATGTGCCTGGTCTTACGTTTTAGCTGACTGAATGACTGATTATTGTTAATAAAGAACATCTTAGCGACTCATATCTTCAACTTCTTGTAATATATTCTCTTAAATTACGTAATTTTAATAATAACTCATTATTCAAATTTTTGATAAATTAATCAAGTTTACAATCAAACGTCAACTAGAAATTGAAAAATACTACATTTTGATTTAATATTCAGTAATAAATTTTCAATCAAGAGTAGTGGAATTTCAGAATTAAAAAATTTACACATCTTGCAACTGGCATATTTTGAAAAGAAAATCCCCATGATTTTCTCCAGATTAATCTTGTTATGTGTTCGGTTAATGAAAACATTTGTCCCCATTAAAATATCCCATCATAAATTAAAATGAGTTAAAAAACTATTAAAACACAAAAAAGAAATATAAATTGCTACTTCGTTGTAGTACCAAAGTTTTCAGTAGTTTATTTCGTGAATTATGAATGGAACCGTGTGTAGACTTTTCACATCCTGTAATGTATATGTTACCGTTGTTGATTGAACTAATCCCGTCTTATCTTGTATAGAAACACTAAAATAGTTTAGCTATTATAACCTCTAAAATCTTTTCTTTTGATATATGTAACATGTTAGAAATAGCATATTGAAAGACAA